CTGCGCCCGGCTTTGCCGCCCGCCTGGGGTGGTAGCACGGTCCAATCTCCGGGCTAAAGTTTTGCCATCTGTAGGACTGGGATAATAATCCTAAAGCACTTTGTCCTCTGAGCGTCTGCAGCAAAGTAAAATATACTTTGTGTGAACAATTCTTTATTAAGAAAATTTCCTTATAATGAAGAGTTTGGTTACAATAGTTGATGCTTGAGCTATGAGTTGTTTTCATTGGACCTAGGTCACTTGTCATTCCTCTTTCTTATTAAATGAATACAAACCTCAAAAACCAGTGGGGATGCAAATTGTCAGCGCTACACGTTTGCTTTCTGTCACTACTCCTTACGGTTTGCTTGAACAGGGCGGCTGGGCGGCGCCTTTGGAAGGCTCTTGTGGGTATTTGCCCAGATGTTGTATCAACAGCGAAATAATGTCTGTGCATGGGGAAAAGAAGGGGAGGGAAATGCAGAAAGCTTAATTAGAGATGATGAAGCACTCTGAGAGTCAGGAAGAAGAGAGGGACCGCGCGGGTGTTAGATACCCATTTGACGGAGCTCCTGCTCCTGTTTTGACTCATCTGCCTCAGATGTTGATGTCTGGCTGTGATGTGTTTCGCTTTATTCCGGGCGCCGCGTAGCAGGCTGTCAGCACGGAGCAGCGCCGGGTGTTTTTAGAAGCAGCGCTGGTGTTTGCCGCACCGAGCAGGCAGGGGTGTCAGATGGTGGAAATACAACAATACAACTTCAGAAAATTGCTCCCTGAAACACGTATACATCCCCAGACGCCTTTGATGTGGCTAACGAATGGGCCCTTTTTAACTTAGTCTTTGCTGATAATCGTGCCGCAGCTCCTGGGCAAAAGTATCAGCGATGCGGGTGTGCAGCCTGGCCCCGGGCATCAAATATTCATAGCGGCACAGATGGGAACCTGCAAAGAGCGTGCACAGAAAGGGAGCGCGTCCCGCACGCGAGCGGGTCGGCGCGTCAGGAGGCGCTTGCGGTTTGCTTCTGCAGCTGCAGTGGCGGCAGAGCAGAGGGGACGGGGACGGGGACGGGGACGGAGAAGGGGCCGGGGATGGGGACAGAGAAGGGGA